CCATCGATGCAAATAAATAGTAATCGGACGGAGCCAAGTCTGGTGAGTAAGCCGCGTGCGAAAGTATTTCCCAACTGAACGCTTCAATCGTTTCCTTGACCGGTTTTGCTGTATAGGATGGTGCATTATCATCAAGCAAAATTACTTTGTGTGGCCTTTTTTGATATTCTGATCGTTTTTCACGCAAAGCTTGATTCAAATCGATCATTTGTTGTCGGTAGCGCTCAGTATTAACGGTTTCGCCAGATTTTAACAGCTCATAATAGATCACACCCTTCTGATCCTACCAAACACAGAGCATTGTCTTCCGTCCATAGCGATTTGGTCTTGTAGTCGATGTCGGTGGTTCGCCTGGAGCTACTCATGATCTGTTACGCTTAGGATTCTCAAAATATATCCACTTTTCATCGCCAGTCACAATTCGGTGGAGAAATGACTTTCTTTTGTATCTGACGAGCAGCATTTCACAAGTGGTTTTTCGGTTTTCCGACTGTCTTTCATTCAGTTCATGTGGAACTCATTTTCCCTGGATCTTTCCCATGGCTTTCAAACGTATGGAGACGGCTTCTCGTGTCACGTTTAATTGATCAGCGAGTTTGAGCGTCATCCTCATCCAACAATGCTTGCAATTCGCTGTCTTGAAACTTTTTCGGTGGTCTTCCACGTTCTTCGTTCCTCACGTCAAAATTGCCACTTCTGAATTTTTTAAACCACACAAAGCACTGTGATTTACCAAGAGCATGCTCACCGTAAGCTTCGACAAGCATTCGATGCGATTCTGCAGCAGTTTTCTTCAAATGGTAACAGAAAATCAATGCTGTCCGCAAATCGTAGATTCCAGGCACAAAACTTGACATGTTCAACGCTATTACAAACTATGTTGTTGTATGAAACTTGTATTGTTCTGAGTCGAAAATGTTTGTGAGATGTCAACAAAGACTTTTGGCATCAATAACGCAGTTTAGCGATAACTACATTATCAGCTAGGGCCATCTATAGGCAAATTCCGATTTCATGCTTACAGACCTGATACATGTCCTTCCCGAGCTGTAAACCTAATGACTCCGAGGACAGGTAAAAAAACCTGGGAAGGGACCAGCCGGAAGGGCACAATGGTCAGACAAAACTCAACGGCTGGTAGGGAGAATCAGCAATGTAGGAGGACCTCGTACTGTGCGGGTGAAATATTTCACTCTTAACAAGATCCTACCACCGCCGTGTTCATAACATTAAACGTTAGTTTTATACAACAAGTGTAAATAAAATGCTAAATTACACTAACACTCGATCTATTAAACTTATTCCACCTTGGGCGTTAGTTCATTCGAGGTACGCGATATCGACCGATCGGTTTGACCTGACCGGTTGCTCTTTAGTGGAGAATTCGTAACAGTCATAATCTTGTTCTCCTACAAATAAATGAAATTCTCTTTAGCCTCCTCTTCGTTAAAAATAACGAGTTTATATGAATAGCAAAAATCACGTCCAAATAGTCACTTTGTCCAAACGTAATCATTTTGATTATCATTTTCAAATAAAAGATGTCCAATTAGTTAGCTGCAATGCAGCGGAAAGTATCGTTAGGTATCTAGGTTGTTTTGTGGTTGTTTGCCGAAGGGTGCGGGGTATTTACGGGATGATATTTAGAGACAACAGAGAAGGGGTGGCTTTCGATCATGGTATTTCCCGCTACGAACATCTCTCGATACCAGTATCGGTTATACACACTATGCTTGCGATACCAGGAGTACAAAACGTGGCCGGGGTGCGTCGAGGGATCGTTTTAATTATCCATCGAAGTAATTACAAGGAGCCGACGTACCATCGGTCGATAAGTCAAGAATCATTTCACCAATACTTCATATCTGTTTCGTTTCTCCTTCGCTTCCTGTGTATAGAAATACACTTACTCGCGCAAAGTAAACTACTGGAACAACGCTGGAATACCTTCAAGTTTTCTATTCTTCTTTCCCGAAACGCTTCTCCTCTTAATTAAGCGTTTTTTCGTATGCGAAAGTTTTAATTACCGCACTGGATGGAAGTAAAAATTTCGCTGTTTTTATCCACCACGATATCTCTTAAGTTGCAACTAGATGTTTATGAAATTTAACAAACAGGAGTCATATTTTAGTATCTTGGAATTTTTATATCGATCTTTCAGATGCTCAAGTAGAAGCTTTCTTTAGTTCTTATTCTCGTAACAGATTATAATTAATTCATGATTCGTGATATACAATCTCTATTCATCCTACCATAGAAGTATCGCCATTAATAATAGTAATTAATAATACCACAGAGAATAATAAATCAAACTTCCTTCCTTCCCAACCAAACTACCCACAAATCGTTCTACATCCGTTTCAAACTTCCACGCCAAACTTTACTACACCAAAAGTTTCCTCAACTTCAATTTTTACCATCGAAGAAGCACTATCATTGATCATCACTGCAAACGATAATAGAACTTCTTCTTGTAACCCAATCGTTTGCGAACCTCCGCGAGCTAACCTACGCTGCACGATCTTTAAATTTATATATTTTGAAACAAACAACCCTCCGTACTCGCAACCAAAGAAGTATCGCTAACTATCATAGTAATTAAGAAATCAACCTCCCTCTTCGTTCATCCGCACTACCCACGAATCAATCTCCGTTCCACAACTTCAAACTCGTATAGTGCATCCTGTCCAAACCAAAACCTTCCTCAACTTTCATTCTCGCTACCGAGAAATTCAACCTCAAACTCCACGCTCTCACAACCCTCTCAAACCTTTACGACTTTGTCAACTTCTGCCTCCTACTACTATCTCCCCCCCCCCCCCCCCACCCACAAAAAAAAAAAAAAAAAAAAAAAAAAAAACAAAAAAAAAAAAAAGAAAAGGAACAGAGGACAAAGAAAGATGCACGAACACAATGTCTCGTTACTTCGCGACGATATTCACCCCCGGATCCACGACGTGTACACGTATATCTACGATGTATAACGGATGTAATGTGTAGAGGGGCGATCGAAGGCGATGGAAAAGCGGGACATGTGCGAAGCTAAGGTGACAGAACGGATGATAGACGTACGTAAGGACAGACGTACAGACGGCCGATGTCGATGGTGGCAAACTCGCGGAGGCACGGAGGAAGATGAGGTCGGAGGTAACCCGACACCTGGCCGCACCGAAGGTAACGTGAGAGCCCCTTTACCCCCCCCCCCCCCCTCCCCCTCTCTTCCCTTCTCTCTCTC